TATTGGGAAATTATATTGTAGAACCTCTAATTATTGATCAAAATTTAACAGAGGAACTGTAATTGAATATGCGGGAAACTACTGTTGACCCTCTCATCACCGAAATGATCGAAGCGAATCCTAATGAATTCGATATGGAAATTGTATTCCAATAAGATGGAGCACCACCACATTACTCCAGACAAGTATAAGAAACTATTTGGATACTACTTTTCCTGTTCGTTGGATTGGCCGTCGAGGTTCTACAGAATGGCCAGCCCGCTCTCTGGCCATTCTGTAGAATAGGGCTATTTGAAGCAAAAGGTGTACGAAACTGAACCTGCTTCAATATTAGATATACGGTAGAGAATAATAAATATTTGTAGAGATATTGACGTTACTGTGTTCGAAAATGTTCGGCGTGAAATATCGAATAGGCTCTTTATATGTCAAGAAGTTCAAGGCAACCATTTCGAGCATCTTCTGAACTGACCTCAAGCTTATTACCTCATATTGTGTAGTTAAATGTCAAATGTATTCAGGCAATTATTAAAAGTTCCGCCATTCTGTAGTAGTTGAAGATATTGCCATTATATTCTAGGGTTGTGAAGCATTTGTCAGGAGCTTCAAAACGATGTGACACTAGACACCCTTTTCCATTTAATTTTTTTTTCCAGATGGCGCTCAGTGGCCACCTTGAAAATTTCATATGTCAATTTCACTTCAAAATGAAGTATTCATGCATTAATTTCATTAACCCAAATTTCAATTTTCTTAGTTGACCCGTTCAGAAAATAAAAGGGGAGGAGACATTGAAGAATTTCACTGTGTACTTACGCTTCTAGTATAATATTATAATGCTAACAGAATGAACTCGTCATACGTATGTGTGTATTTCGATTAATGTCGTTCTCTCTAAGACATCGTTGCCAATAAAAAATTATGAAATTCCTCAGTTTCACAATCAAATTATTCAACAAAATTCGAAATTCCTCCAACTAATCTCCTCACATGAGAGCACAGACCATATACCCTAGACGGTTCACGTATGTTACTTCACCTTGAATCCTTTTTTTTTAGTACCGATACAAATCTTAAGATGGCACTGTAAATTTGTTCTTTGGTTTTATGTCACGGACCTACATATATTCTTGTGGATTGTGATGTATGTCAAAAATAAGAAGAAGAAGAACATGTACATAATATATTTAAACGATGGTCATGTGACTCATGTCACTCGTTTCAGTTAAAAGGGGAAGGAGGTCAGGCTTCAACCTGAATAAAATCAAGATGGATTACGTCATGTCACTCGTGTTGTTGTCTGACTTTGTACCCTAGTGATTATTTATTTCGTTATTTAGATTGTTTTACAATGGTTTACCACAACAAATGTTGCGTTCCTGATTGCAAAAGTATATCTAGTATAAGACATGCGTTCCCTAATCCAGATAAAGATATAAATAGGTTCAAGAAATGGATACTGGTAATTAATAATTTGGAACTGATGGAAATGGACCCAAAAGAAGTTTACGGTTCTAGAAGGCTGTGTGATAGTCATTTTGAGGCAAAATACATTTCTGCTTGGTCTCACAAGTTATTTGGGAACGCTGTTCCAACTACAAATCTTCCTGGTGAGTAAAAATTTTAATTCGTGAAACTTAAATGAAACAGACTTTTTTATAGGTTCAACAGGCCCAAATGATGTATATGATACTCCATCAACATCTAAGTCTTCAAATAGTTCTGCTCAAGAAAGTACTCAATTTAATGAGTTAGTCATTGAGATTCCAGAATTGAACGAATCTTCTCACAGTATTGAAGGTAATGAATATAAACATACAGACATAT